AGGAGTTCCTTGGTAGTGTTTTATGTGTCACTTATGTAAACTATCATATCATCTGCATATAGTAAAAGTCTGTCTTTCCAAATGTTATCACCTTGATCTCCTTTTGTTGTCTTTTTGTTCTAGCTAGAGCTTCAAGGACATTATTATAAGAGGTACTGTGAGAGTGGACAGCCTTGTCTTGTTCCTGAGTTTAGAGGAATCGTGATGAGTTTCTGTCCATTTTGTTTGATATTGGCTGTTAGTTTGCTGTATATAGCTTTTACTATGTTGAGTTAAGTTCCTATTATTCCTGATCTCTTCAAGACCATTATCATGAAAGGGTGTTAGATTTTGCCAAAGGCTTTTTCAGCATCTAGTGTGTTGATCATGTGACTTTTGTTTCTCAGCTTGTTTATATGGTGGATTGCACTGATGGATTTTTGTATATTGAACAATATCTGCATCACTGGAATGAAGCCTGCTTGATCATGGTGGATGATTTTTCTGATGCATTCTTGGACCAGATTTGCCAGTGTTTTATTGAATATTTTTGCATCCATGTTCATGAGGGACATTGGTCTGAATTTCTTTTTCTTAGTTGTGTCTTTGTGTGGCTTGGGTATCAAGGTTATTTAAGCCTCATAAAAAGAGTTTGGCAAAGACCCTTTTGTTTCTATTGTATGGAAGATTTTGAGGAGAATTCGTGTAAGCTGTTATTTGAATTTCTGGAAGAATTCTGCATTGACGACATCTAGACCAGGGCTTTTTTTTAGGGTGGGAGACTTTTGATGACTGCTGCTATTTCCTTAGGAGTTATAGGTCTATTTAAGTTGTTTATCTGTTCTTGATTTAATTTTGTAAGTGATATGTGTCCAGAAAATTGTCCATTTCCTTTAAAATTTTCAAATTTTGTCGAGTACAGGTTTTCAAAGTAAGACCTGATGATTCTCTGGATTTCCTCATTGTCCATTGTTATGTTCCCCTTTTCATTTCTGATTTTGTTAATTTGAATATTCTCTGTCATTTGGCAAGTTTGGATAAAGGATTGTCTATCTTGTTGATTTTCTCAAAGAACCAACTCTTCATTACATTGATTCTTTGTATTTGTATTGTAGTCCTAGTTTCTACTTTATTGATTTCAACCATCATCTGATTATTTCCTGATGTCGACTTCTCTGAGGTGAGTTTGCTTCTTTGTGTTCTAGGGCTTTCAGTTGTGCTGTTAATTATTTAGTGTGACTTTTTTCCAGTTTCTTCATGTGGGCACTTAATGATATGAACTTTTCTCTTAGCACTGCTTTCAAAGTGTTCCATAAGTTTGTGTATGTTATGTCTTCATTCTCCTTTAATTCTAGGAAGTCTTTAATTTCTTTTTTTATTTCTTCTTTGACCTAAGAATGGTGCAATTGTGTATTATTCAATTTCCATGAGTTTGTATGGTTTCTGCAATTTCTGTTGTTGCTGAATTCTAACTTTAATGCATGGTGGATTGATAAGGTAACTGGAGTTTTTCCAATTTTTTTGTACCTGTTGAGGTTTGATATGTTGCAGAGTATGTGGTTGATTTTTGGAAACATTCTATATGGTGCTGGGGAGAAGGTATATTCTTTTGCATTTGGATGGAATGTTCTATATATGTCTGTTAAATCTAATAGGGTTATAGCTTCTATTAGTTCCTTCTTTTAAGTTTCTGTCTGGTGGTCCTGTCTAGAGGTGAGTGTGGAGTGATGAAGTCTCCAACTCTGTGTGTGACATTTTATGTATGATTTGAGTTTTAGTAATGTTCCTTTTATGAATGTGGATGCCTTTGTATTTGGGACATAGATGTTCAGAATTGACACTTCTTCTTGGTGGATTTCTCTTGTGATAAGTATGAAATGACCTCCTTCATCTCTTTTGATTTATTTTATTTTATTTTTATTCTCCAGATTTATTTTGGTAAAAAAAAATCAGATATAACCTTTCAAAAATTACATTAATGTTTAACATGCATTCAAATAACTTTCTTTTTTTCCAGTTTAAATTTAGATAAGAAACGAGGTTGCTTCACAAGTCAGTTCCAGGTCCCTCTCCCATTCCCTCCCATCCTCCCGTGCCCTCCCCCCAACCCCACCCTGTTATCCCCTCATTCCCCCAGGGAGGGTGAGGCCCTCCATGGGGGTGTCCATAGTCTGTCATTTCATATAGGGCAGGGCCTAGACCCTTCCCCAAGAGTTCAGGGTGAGAGTGCACCTCAGATTTATTATAATTTAAAGTCTAATTTGTTAGATTGCTACCCGCACTTCTTTCTTTGGTCCATTTGATTGGAAAACCTTTTCCTAACCCTTAACTCTGAGGTAATGTTTGTGTTTAAAGTTGAGGTGTGTTTCTTGTATTCAGAAGAAAGATGGATGCTTTCTTTGAATCCATTTGTTAAAATATGTAAAAAGCCAGTTGGTGGGCTTTTCTCTGGTTATGTCTGCTTCTCAAAATGTCAGCATATATTAGTCGCTTGTGATTATTTGTGTAGAGTTGAAGCCTCCTTGTCTTTCTTCCATCAGTTTTGGTATGTTTGTTGCTGTTGTCCTTCTTCAGCACATGTTTATGTAGACAAGTTGGTGACACTTCAAAAGTAACATACAAAATAAATAAGTCGTATTTAGGAATTGATAGGTTGTGATGATTCAAATGTGTAAGACCTCACAAGCTATTATATTTGAAAACTTGGTTCCCAGTTGATGGAACTGTTTGATGAAGATTAGGAATCATGGCCTGTTGGAGAAGGTATGCCACTGGAGTTGGTTATGAGGTTTTAATATTCATGGTATTCTACCTTGTTCACTCTTTGAATCATGATTGCTCTCTGCTGTTGTTCCAGCTCAATTCAGCCATGCTCACTGACATTATGTTCATAGAATGATCTAAACCTGTAAGCAAACATATAATTAAATAGTTCCTTTTAGAAGTTGCCTTGGTTATTGATGGGGGAATGCTTCTGTACATATGTTTCTCTTACTGGTTGATGAATAAAACACTGTTGGCCAATAGAGAAGCAAGATAGGCAGGACTAGGAGACAAGGAGAATTCTGGGAAGGGTAGTAAGGAGGAGTCACCATGTTACCCAGGAATGAGAGGACGCACAAATCTGGAATTCTCAGTAAGATAAGACCTTACAGAAATATATATATGTATATATATAATTTATATATATATATATATATGGGTTAATACTTAAGACTGAGGTAGCCAACTAAGAAATGCAAGTCAACACCCAATAGCTTAATAGTAAATATATCTTCTGTGTGTTTCTTCGAGTCAGAGAAGTGTGGCAGGACCTAGCCAAGGAAACCACATGTTACATGTTATCGTGTCTCATTATATCAATAAAAAAGTAAATAAGACATATATGCATATAACAAGAATTAATGAACAGAGAGGGATTTCATTCCAAAGAAAAAGGGGTAGGTTTATGGGAGGGTTTTGAAGAATGGAGGAAAAGGAGGAATGAGTATAATTATAAAACACTCTCGAAATAAGATGAACAAAACAAAATAAAGGTCACAAACTAAGAAACACAGCAACTTGTCAGTTAAAATAATAATATTAGACAAGGAGTATGGATTCTATAGTATGTGTGCTGTCAAAAATGGGGGTCCAAAAATATCACTTTTATAATGAGTAAGAAATTAATATTATTAAAACGCTTAAACCAGGATATTCCTGGTTTAAAAAAATCAATCTTATCTGTTTGTACTAAGTGAACATTTTTATGTTTTTGAGAATTTTTTGTTTGTTTTGATCATATTAAGCCCCACCCCATACTTTACCCTTGCCCTCTATTCAATTGATTCTGTTTCATTTTTAACATTTTAAGAACAACTTACACTGCCCAAGTATTCTCAGATGTGTATTCTTTCATGTGAGAGTTATTCTCTTTCCACAAGTAAGCTTCTAGAGAAAATAGTTACCTTTTCTCCCCTAAGCTACCTGTTCCCAGGAGTACCATGGCTAGGAGAGGACATGAATACCTACTTTCGTGCTCCATGCTAAAATTTGGTCTAATGTGGACCTCTATGGATTCAGAGTAAGTTGTTGCAAACATTGTGAAGTCTTCTTCAATTCTACCTCATCCATTTTAATTATTCCTCTGAATCACACAAGTAATAGCATTTAACTATAACCAAAACCACTTACATAGATCATTTAACTGAGTTAAATAGTTTTATAGATGTCTGGTGAGATGGTTAACTGTTACTCTTGTAGATGTCTCTACCCCAGTTCAATCACCCACATGGTAACTTACATTCATCCTGAAGTTCAGTTGAAGAGGATACCATGCCTGTTTCTCACCTAAGCTATCCCAGACATGTATGCGCCATTCATACATGCAGGCAAAATGCTCATTTACAGAAAATAGAACAAATAAATCTAAAAATATACTTTTAAAAGTATAAATCACTAGCAATGGTGTACTTCAAATCACAGTATTATGTGACAGAGAAAAGAAATATATGATAAAAAAAAACAATAAGGGAAAACAGGTTCATAATCAAGTCAAAGAAGGTTCTTTGGAAAGACAACATCATTTTTGAACATCTTAACTGTGACAACCTGTAAAATTTTTTCTAAATTATATTTTGAATATTGTTAATATGATTATCATACCAGTTGGCTAAAGTAATTTTCTTATAAGTAATTTAAAATGATAATTATGACTAAAATCATGTACTTGATTTTTCTAATAGGACATATTCTATTTATTAAATACCACCACAAAATAATCATGTTGTAATGATAACTTTTAACATATTGGCTTATTCAATTATTAGTATGATCTTACATTAGCAAGCTATTAAGTGTGTTTTCTTCTGAATGGAATTATTCATAAATCAAAGAGTAAAGAATTACTGGGTTTCTCATTTACATAAACATATGATGAGTTCTTATTTTAAAGATAAGTTCCTGTTTTTCACCTTAGCTGCTTTTTAGCAACCCTATTTGACAGAAGACAAACAGAAGAAATTCACACTGCTTACCAAGTCATAAGTAATGAAGTCTTCAGCACTGATACCTAGAATTATTTTCTCCTTTCAGCATTGTTGGCTAGTTGATAAGCTCTCATTTCTGTTAAGTAGAATAGAAAATAATCTCAATTGTTTAAAGTTCCTTAATATTTAATTTATTGCCATCATCCATAAACATTCCTAGTAATACTGCGAATTTTTTAGAATAGTTTTTTACTCATGTTTTCTTTTTAATTTTCTCTGGGTTAAACCATTTCACTTGCATGAAAAGAGAACATATGATGAACTGTGGACAATAATATAATTGAATTTCAAAATAAGTATTCAGCTAGTAATGTAGCTATGACAAAGCTTAAGAAAAATATGAAGTTTATAACTTATAGCTCTACAATTTTAACAAAATTAAACTACTGCAATCAGATTTTCTTAATTGATTATTTTGAGGCGTCTTACTGAGTCCATTTGCCTGTATTTACTTATTCATGATAGGACTTGAGCATTGTTTCTAATTTATATCACTACTGAAAATGGCATGTATTCATTGACATGTATTCCCTAGAAAAGTGATCAATATCTTACAATCACTGCAAGATTCCTTATGACCACTTTAATTTTAGTTCAAAAAATCTAAGCAAAGAATAGTCAGTGTCCACAGTGATGCTCAGGAAATGGTGAATTGGGTTTAGGGAGAACTAGAGGAGCATCTGCTGGAAAAAAATCTGAATTTCACACTTTAAATTTGTTCTCAAGACTCATAGATTTTGACACATGTGGACTAATACAACTACCCACTGTCTTTCTAGAACTATTTTTGGCTTGTATTGTATGGCCCTTGCAATAAAAATATTGTTGTGGCACCAAGTAAAAGCAATAATATTTGGTCCTGTGGAGATGGCTTAGCAGGTAATCCCACTTCCTGAACAAGAGTTTGGATTTCCAGTGACTACTATAATTCTTGGAATGTATAGAGCATCTACCAGCAATACCAGCAACAGGTAATTCTGCAGAGCAATTTGGATAGCTATACTGTCTGAATCATTGTGCTCTATGTTCAATTGGGGACTATGTAGAGAGAAGCCTTTTTCTTGCTAGCCGCTTTGGTATTTTTCCCCACCAGTCACCTGGGCTCTACCGCATTGTAGTCCCCAAATAAACACACAGGACGCTGTATTAATTATGAAGCTGTTGGCCTTTTGCTTGATTTCTTTCTATTCTGATTTAAGTATTTACCCCATAATTGTCAATCTAAGTATTTCTCTATCCGGATAAAAGTTTCGGCTTCTTACCCCTATGGCAGTTACATCTTGACTCTCTGTGTTTCTTCTACCCAGAGTCCTCCTGAACTCCTAGTCCCACCTATCTTGCTTCCCTATTGGCCAACAGTGCTTTATTGACATATACACAGGACTTCAGCTTCAGGACTACACCTCAACATATATGTGTAGAGACATTGTAGGAAGATTCTCAATGTCAAATTTGACCTCTATACACATGCAGATATGAAGTCATGTGCAGACTAATACCTATTAAAGTGAAGATGCATATACACAAAATATGCATACACATGAAAAAGAAGAAATATCACTATATTATAATATACAATAATTTGAGTAATAGCTGTATGATCCTTACATTGGAAACTATAAACACAGTCATAGTCTTATGCAATTATTCTGTCTTATCTTATAAATATTGGTCATTATCCAACTCTGCCACATAAGAGTCAAGTCTAAAACCTATAATATCTTAACTCTCATTGTCAAATGATGGCTGAAAGAAGAGTTCTGCGTCAGCTGAGCTCAAATTTTTTCAGGTAGTACCTTTATGGGATTCCTCCTGGAGGAGAAACTCTAGAAGGAAATGACTTGATACAAAAGAGGGGTGAGCTAAGTAATTCCAATGAAGTATTTTGTGTGATGCATATGTTATTTCAGCCTGGCTAAGTGATAATGAAGAGATATTATCAATGGGATAAGAGATATAACCATTCACTATAAGCACAGAAAATTATTTGTCTGCAGCTCTGCATAGAGGCCTTGAAGGATGGAGATCAAATGCTTGAGCACAATGATAAAATGCAGTGGGACCTTAAAGAAATTTGAAGCACAAGGGGATTTGGGGCATATAATGTCTTTCATTTGGTATCAATTCAATTAGTTAAGAAAGATACCCTATTAGAACTTAAGCTGTTATATTATGAGCAATTCATTTGATAAGATGATCTTACTTATTGCCTGCATTTTATTCTAAGACATGCTTTTCAGCTGAGTCGGTTTAAACAAGAGTAGACAAGTATAAAACTGATATAAACTGAAAGCTACAAGAAAACATACTTTTGTATGTTCTTAAGTTAAAAAGGAGAGCTTTCAATTTTAAACACAGGACTTTCAGACAAGATGCTGTTCTAAGCTTAAATGCAGTCAATACTTTATTCAACATTGCAAACACAGGAAGTAGGTCAGACCTGGTCTGAAGGTAGCCTGTTAGTCAATGGTTGTGGTACATTCAAGCCTAACTGACTGAATCTCTTTGCCATTCATAACTCCTGATTATCCTGCTATTCATAACTCCTGATTATCCTGCTATCTGTTAAGACATATGTAAGATTAACATACGGATAAGATGCTCCTGAAATACTCAGGCATTTTCTACATTCAAACATTTTATTTAAAAAAATAGTTTGGGAAATAATAGAAATGAAGGCAGAAAGGTAACTGAAGGAAATTATGAAAGGTTAAATGCATTTTAGACTTGTGATATTTTCTATTCACATTGGGTTTATTGAGTTGTAATTCCATGTTGAATTGAGAGGACTCTGCACTGTCGATTTAGAATCCAATTGCAAATACATTATAACCCAAAAGTGAAGGTCAAGTAAAAATGGATTCATTACAAAAAATGATACAACCTAGAAATCAGAAGCACTTGAAATAAATAGATAAATCTTTATCAGAAAAAAATGTAACTAACCAATGAAAAATAAAATACAAAATCCACAATGTCCCAAAGCAAACACTTCCCCATACAGCTCATCCTATAAAGTGTTGAATATCAAAGATAAATATACAAATTCAAAAATATATACTAACAAATTAAAGATACACAGGAAAAATAATTTATTCATGTAGAGATGGTATCAGGACAAAGTATTGAAAAAATTCTTTTATAAGGTGTATATTTATTTTGTCTTTAAGAAAAACAATTTCTTAACTTTTATAGCTACTTTAATTTAAGAACATCTGATGACTCTTTCACTGTAACAGTGCAAAAATAAAGAACAAAATTGAAGCAGTTTACTCCAAAAGGAAAGAAAAAAATAATTATAAGGGCCATCATGGGCACTGGAAAAACAGAAAATATTGAAACAAAAAGGAAGAACCTACATAATTTATCAAATTTGAAAATGTTTTGTTTTATCCTTTATTTCCCCATATTGTTTTCTGTGTCTTTCTTTTCTTTATATTCTACTACAATGAGTATTTTGTTTTGTTTTAATTTTGTTTAATGCTTTTGTTCAGGTTCCCCTTGCTCCACTCCTCCTAACTCCCTGAATCTCCCCTCAGACCCCACCCAAGTCTACTCCTGCTTTGTTTCCTCTTCAGTAAATATCAGGAGTCTCCACAAGACAACAGCCAGATAGGACAAAACAGGGCATGACAAGACAAAGCAAAGCCTTCATATCAAGGCCTGAAAATCAACCCAAGAAATCAGAGATACATTTGCTCCCACTGTTAGGAGTCCCAGAAAACACAAATCCGACAGCCACTGCACGTTTGTAGATAACCTGTTGCAGACCTATGCAGTCTCTATGAGTTATGTGAGCCCTGTTCTGTGGGAAGGTTCTCTTGGTGTCCTCCATCACCACTGAGTTCTGCAGCTTCTTCTACTAAATACCCAGATTATTTCTCATTGTATTTTCACAATGTTTATATTTTGGTTTCTGTTAAGGTTTGAATATAAGTAATCTAAACATCTCTATGTTTAGGTTATGTTAAAAATTTAAGTTACAATTTGCTTTAGGTTTACTTCTATGTTTTAAATTTATTGCTATTTTGTTCTGTTCACATCCTGACATTCATTACATTTTCCTTTGGATCCTTCATGCATTTTTAACTATTTGTATAATAGACTACATTAAACCGTTTTTGAAGTAATTTTTCCTTGCAAGGGTACAAAACTTCCATGTCTTCTTTGGTTTGTGATTTTCTTTTTCTTTTTCGTAAGAAATTGGATTTCAGTATCTACAAATACAGTAGCTCTAGAAGTCAAAGTATACCCCTCAGAGTTTGTTTTGTTATTGTTTCCTGGGGTGAATGTCTTTTCTCTCTTTGCTTTTTAGTGATTGATATATTGAGTTTACTCTGGACATGCATCATCTCTTTAAAATTTTTCATGGAGGGGGTGGTAACAACAGTACTGAATCCTGATATTTCCTAGAAATCATTTGATAGATATTACCTTAACTTAATTGTGTTTGTTTTATGCTATAGATATGTCTGTAAAGTATCCACAGAATTTAGGTACCTAATAAGGGACAAGAATGACAAAGGGTTTTTCCAAGGTCATAAAATGTAATGTTAAAAGGGATTAAGGGGGACTGAGACCCCTGAGAATTAAAGGGAATGAGGTGGGAGAGAACAACTAACAATAGCAGTTTTTGAAAACCTGCTTCTTCAGAAGCATCCTAAAATAAATACATCTATCAGAGAATTTAGATGGAGTCTCTGTCTAATGGAAAAACAACAACCAAACTAAAAATATGTTACCAACTCGACTTACTAGTAACATCACGTTTACATCTTTTTGTGCCATTGGCCAAATTGATCCATTAGAGACTATGCCCCTCCTCAGACAACTTTTACAGGCTATAGTCAGTAAAATTAGCTATCTTACACGATATGATATTAAGACACAATTACTGCAAATACCACATAGCAATGCCACATAAAATGAAGAAATCTAGTTGGTACTCAACTGGAAGCCTCAGTCTTACTGGCTAGAGTTCATCCTGATAGAATACTGTAGACATGCAAATATGGTAGAAAATGAATCACTAATATCAACAAACAGCAAACTCTGAGATATATTAACAACATATCTAAAGGGTATGCCCACTGGTACGGTAGAGGAATTAATTATATGGCATCAACGAACAAGTTTTCTTTTCTTAATTGGATCTATGTTTCTCTCTATGAGCTGGAACTATTACATGAGACTGCTTATGAAACCAAGAATCTAAAACTTGTTTTGGGCCTAGTGCAAGACCTAATTTATAATTCTACTAAATGAACATAGCCAAAAAATGACACTTACTGAAATATTACTATGTGCATATATCAGTGTATTGCTTACCTCTCAACAGAAAACATTCTTGCTGTTGATTTGATTAGCACATCAGCCTACAACTGAAAAACATTCAGACAGTGAGAGACATAGGTGCTTAGCCTGAAATCAAATATCTTTATCACACTTGCCCTCTCAAGTCTCAGAGATCCATGAGGAAGAGGGGGCAGAAAGATTGTAAGGCCCAGAGTTGGTTAAACATTTGAATGAGACAGCAATTTGCAGACACAATAAGGAAAATGCTCATGCAATCTCACAGAGAATATGACAGGAATATGACAACATAACAAGGCTTTACAAAACCTCAAGCCAGATAGCATTCCCAGCATGAAGAAGGAAGTATGTGAAGAAGATCCCACCTCTTGTTCTTATGAAATGATACATGGTGAGAGAAGAAAATCAGTTGAGTGGAACTAGGTTTATCAATCACCCTATAAAGCATGCTTGGAAGCAATTGGCCAACACAAACCGGACTCCATTTTCTGTGTGTTCTTTTATTCTTTTTCTTTTTTAGGAGGAAGTACTTAAAAGACGGGTGGGTAGGGAGCATGGACGATGTCAGGATGTTGGAAGAATGGGAGTACAGTAAAGACTATGACAAAAATATACTTTAAGGTATCCTTTTTTAAAACTCTCTAATAAATTTTAAAAAGGATGAGAAAAGAAAATCAGTCTTTTTACCTGAGATGCTTTCCCACAATTCTTCATCCCTTGTCAGATTTGCTGCTTAACACACTCAATTATGCTCCAAAATGTGTAATTATATTCATGGATACATTTGATATAAAGCATCAGGGTACTTTTGTCTTATTTGACATTTGCTGTCTAGGCACTCTACTATTAAAACAAAATATTATTTTCACAGAAGGATTTCTTGAATGAAATTCATTTCCATTTCAAATTCAAAATTTTGTCAACCACCAAACATGACAGCAGTTTTACAAAGCCACTTCCTTGAAGTACTAGTTAAACAATCTTTTAGGAGGCTTGAAATTTAAATCTCAGTTGAGACTGGAATGAATATATTCACACTTCTTTTTCTAAGTGGGAATCAAAGTAGCTTTTCCAAAGATAGCTTATATTTCAATGTCAATTAAAACAAGAAACAACTGACAAATGCAGCTAAGTATGTAATAGCTAATAAATTCAACACATCACAAAGAGAGAATATCACTATTCATTAAATAAAACTAACACACTCATACACACATACACACACACACATGCACATCAAAAAATAAATGAGTGTTTCAAAGAAAACCTTTTTTTAAATTTTTATCATGAGATAAGTCAATAGATATACATACAGAAGGGTGACGGCTTCTGAATATTCTAACCCATTCTTCTGAAATGTTGAATATTTCATTTGTTAATTGCAGTTTTATGTATTTATGAAATAATCTCCATTACATTTATAACTTAATTAGTATGTTACTTTTGCTCCTATATGGATCCCATTATACTTATGATTGATTCATGTAAACTTTAATAATGTTACATTTTGAAATGATATTGCTAAGGAAGTATGTGTTATTTTATAAAACAGTCCTCTTCAGTTCCCTTGTCTTGTTGCATGTAGAATCTTGAGTGATTTCCCACAAATTGCAGACACAGAGTTGGAAATTTGGTTTGTTTTTATTTGGATAATAATTCACCATATGAATAATTCTCAACATTCTGGCTTCTAATTGGAATAAAAATGAAAGGGTTATGTATACAACATCCAGGGAGATTACAGCTGTTTTGTTTGCTCCGAATATGGTCAGGTATGTAAACAGACTACTCCTGTGCTATCCACCTTACTTATAGAACTGTAAAATAATTCTATTGTGTAAATTGTTTTCAGAAGAAACTAAGTCAGTTTATACATTGTGCAAACCAAAAGCACTTCTGGGAGAATTAGCTGCTTTGCTTGGACTTTACCTGGCCATCTGTTATTGAATTTACTGCCTGAATCAGAGCCTGGCCATCTGTTACTGAATCCTACTGCCTCAGACATCTAAACAGAGTATAACTACTGACAAGTTCACTTGACTAAATGCTCCATTTTCACCTCAGCTTTTAGTGACATGTATTGCATAAAAGTTTCTCAGATATATTAATATTGATAATGCTTTATTGATAGATTAACATTAATATGGTATATTTACATAAGCATGAAAATATACTTTTAAGTTGTGAGTAAATGGAAATATTTTCATGCATGACTTTCTAAACTTTTTTATTTATTGTTTGGATCTTCACAAATTCCCAATCATATCCATCTATACCCCCAGAATAAAACAAAATAAACTTTAAGACAATAAATGGGGTGGGGAGGGAAGAAAGGGAAAACTTCATCATGGAAGCTGCAGTTTGACAAAGTGTGACACACTGTAAACTTCTTTATCCAACATGACATTTTTAATCTTTTATTTATATAGTATTGCATCAGTGAGGAAAAATGTAATATATTTGCTGTAAGTATATTCAATAAATTAGTAAGCCAGACTTAGTAACATGTCATCTTTTTTTGAATTAAAATTATTTTATGTGAAATTCAAGTTGTTCAAAATTACGTTATCTATTTAGAAGCACATCTTTTTATTTAACATTGTCAACTGTATTTTGAGTTATTTCACAGGGGAAAAACTTACAGTCAACATTTCAGCTCATATCAGTGATTTAAGTTTTAAAGCATTGATTTATAGTTAGCATAACGAAAATAGGTGAATTTCAGTTTGAGTTAATGTTGGAGAATCCAAATATATAAATGAGTAATAACCTTAAATTTTTAGGATTGAATACAGAGTGAGTGCTTGGACATTGCTACTAGAGAAATGAGTATTAGTGCTCATTGTTATTGGAAAAATGAGTATTAGTTTTCCTCTAAGAAAAAGAAATAAGCACATCCTATTATAGTATCATAGTTAAAAATGAATATCGGAGAAAAATGAAATTCAAATTTGATGCTTTTTTAGCAGTAAGCAGGACAAAGTGACTTGTTGATATTTTAAAATCCTATACCTGTAGTATATATGATGAGGGAAAATAGTCCAAAACAATTTAGTAAAGATATGTGTTTCAAACATGCATAGTACAGAGATAACTCAAAGGTCATAATTTGTAGATGTTCCTTTATTAAACTTCATTTTTTCAGAGATGCATGCCTCAAGTTTGTAAATATTGATGAAAATTTTGTTTTCTCTCATTATTATCTTTTTCGAAGAAAATGTGCTCTTGGGACTTCATACCACACTAAACAGCAACAATTGAAGCTGAAATGACTAAGATAACACCATCTTGTCCTCATTCTTTGCTCCTTGATCAGAAGTTCTCACATCGCAGTGATGTTTTCCTTGACAAAACATTTGAGATTCCTATGGTCCAGTTTTATTAACCAAAATAAGTATAGCTTATATGAACTTAATATAAAACAAAAATTCAGAAAAAAAGATATAAATCAAATATAAGTATCTGTTGTGTTCTAAATAATTAGTATGCTCTGTCAGAAACAGGTGTTTCGAGGTTACTCTGATCCTAGTCTAGCTTTGATGTATGTATGGTCTGTGTGGATTTAGCCTTTAATTCTACATCCTAGGGCCTTGGCACTAAGAGACTTTGAGGTATGAGACTGTTCTTGGTTGCTGGCCAATAAAGAATCATAGTTTTAATTGGTTTAATCAGTGTGCTTGTCTGTATCTTTCTTGTATGGATTATTACAAAAATGCAATACCCTATGCAGGAAAGCACATTTTTTGAAGCATGGACTAATGTAACATCTAAAATTAAGAAGTGGAATGTGTCCTAAGATACAACTGCAAATTCATACTGTTTGACTTGTTTCATATTTTACTGCTTTGGAATAAGATATGATGCCTTATTTTATCACCTTATGTGGAACACATCTATTTAAAAAGCACATTTGGAAAGTATTGGATATTTGTAGCAATGTTAGCTGAACCTTTTGTAACATGCTCCTTCATTTGAACAGCAATACCTTTTCTTCATAGACTGAGCACAAAGTTCAGTGAAAACATGGGTTACAGTCAGCAATGCATCTGAGTCCTGGAATGCTGATGGTTCAGACATTATGAGCACTTGCTGACTTTCCTGAGGAACCATGAGGTAGACTTCCACTGTCCATTTTGAACCTCTCACAACTACTTGAATCTTCAGTTCCTTGTGATCCCACATCACCTTCCTGAATTAATGAGAACCCTCACAGATGCACACAAACCCATACGTAGATGCGTAAACACACAGATACGTTACATGTATTATACTATATGAGTATCAGTATTGATATTTTCAAAATCATCCTGTGCAATTTCCTCTGCAAGATGTTATCCTGGCAAATTTCCTTTAGCATTGTTATAGGAAAGTCAGTAAACAACCGAAGAAGATCATGGGATATGGTAATAATACTTGGAATTGAAGTGAGAATTTCTTATGTGTATTTAAAATTTCTACAGGATAAGTGTAATCTTCATTTTACTTGTGTAGGTATATGTATACTTTTTTGTATGCGAGAGTTTGGGCGTATATGTGACCCTCTGGGTGTGTTGAGGTCAGAGTAAAATCTTAATCATCCTGGGTGTGTTGAGGTCAGAGTAAAATCTTAATCATCGTTCCTTGTCTTCTAAATTGTTTGAGAATGCTTGCCCTTGCTTCCCATTGATTCTGCCAGTTTGGGGAGGTGGTGGCTTAGAACTTCTAGAAAGTCTCCTGACTTCATCACCTACTTATGTTCATAGTACACCATGATCTATCTCATCTATCTTTTGCATGTGTTCTGAGGATTCAAGCTTAGGTCCCATGATAGTGCATCTTGGGGTTTTCCTACCCAGCCATGATTGCAGCCATATCATCTTCATTTAAAGGAATGACAACTAAATCTTCTGGAAATGAAGCATTTATCTGGAGTTCCAAAGCACTAAAGAAGCAGGCTTTACATGTCTCTGTCTGACCCTGTTTCAAATACGTTCCTTAAAAATAAACAACCAGAGAACTCCCTTCATGCTGGAATTTTCACTGTTACAAGCTTTTATTTTCCTTTGAAGCTTTTAACAAGTTTTATTTT